CAATGGCATGTGAATCTACGATGATTTCAAAATAAAAAAGTTGAGTTAAAAAATATCTTACTATATAACTTCTCTTCAGTAACTTATTTCACCATTTCTTATAAGATAAAATCAAAATGCTTAACAGTGCTTGATCTTGCATGATTAGATCTGGTGTGTCTAGCCAGGTGATTTCCAACCCTGGCAGACTTACCCATGGAGCTTATAAAAAATACTGATGCCTGGGACCCTACTCCAGCTCAATTAAATTAGAATCCCTGGGGACAGCTATATATTCATTAACATATTTGTTTGATTAAAGTCTGTCTCACTGTCAGACCACAGGCTCCATGAGGGCAGGAACCAGGCCTGTTTTTGCTTTCCACTGTGTCTCCATCACAGTATTTATGGAGAAAATGAATGAATGAATAGAGGGGAGATAGAAGTATCCTTCTCCCCTATCTTGCTACCTCCGTGAACCCATGAAAGGGATAAGGTGCTTTCTCTGGTCTCACCCTGTCTCTCCAGGGCCCCATTATTACAAAATTGCAGTAGGGATCACGGCATTGCTCCAAGAGAGATCTAACCCATAGCTGTAAATATCTGTAAATGGTGACAGTGCCTCCTCATTCACACTCAATCAACAAACTTAATGAAAGTGAAGAAGTTGACAAAGAGGCTGAAATGACACACGTACTCTTACTCATACAGAAATAACAGAAAACATTTTAAATGCAACTAAGAAAAAAAATTAAAGGCACTGACAAATGAAGAAAGATTTTAGGGAAGGAGAAACGCTGGAGGAAACGGGGCTCCCAGCCTTTGGCCTAGTAATTGCATTTGCAGAAAATCTCTCTTATGCCACTCATCATGCCAGAGTGGCTCACTTAATGTTAATGAGTGAGTAAAATTATGCCAAGAGGCACTAAATTCAGCAAATTCCAATGTATTCTTGGGGCTTATGCTGATTCTGTCCTACCCTCCCCCACCCCTCAGCGTCTGTATCAGCATTTGTAGTGTGAGCACAATAATTAATGTTCTAAACAATTACCTTGAGACATTGCAAGTTCTGGAATTTTATAAGAATCTCAGGCCACAAATCCACAAATGCCAGTGTGTGGGAAATACAACTTTGTTTTCAGTAACTCCACTTAATTTCCATTTTTACACCACTACCTGTTCTACCGATATGGTGGTAAACTCATCCTTTTTAAAATCTTAGCATCATTTTACTCATCCATATAGTTTTCAGATTTTTGGTGGGGGGAGTGTTTTGTAGGTGCTCCCTGGAATTGACAAGGCCTCCAGAGGTAAAGCATTGTGCGGGGTGGTGAGTGGAGAGTGGGGGAGGTGCTCTTTTGTCACAGATGGAAGGTCAGCAAGGCCCTTGATGTCTGGCAGTTCTGCTGTTTGGACCCAGCTCTGATCCATGGTTCAGGCTTGGGAACCTTTACTAGGCTGCTTATAGTCACATCTGCCCAGATGCTATGGGCAGCCCTTCTCTCTGGTCCTGCTTTCTCCCTGATAGCTGTGCCAGAAAGCTGGTGTAGCACGCTTTTCTTTCCTGCGTCCAAACATCATCTCTTTCTAGTATGGGGTGAAGAGAAGCCCCACCCATTCTCCTCACTATTTCTGGCTAAGACACCTTGTGTCAGCCTATGGGGGCTCAAACTTTTGGAAACAAAGTTAGGAAGGCCAGCAAGTTCTTTGAGTCCTCATCAGAGGCTATGCAAACAGAACAAACTGTCTGCTGGAATGAGGATGGGTTGAGGGTAAACAAAAAGAAAGAAAAAGGAATATACAGTGATGAAAAAATAACAGATTATCATAAAATGTTGTTTTGGAATGACAGCTAACATTTATTACCTGCTTACCAGGTGCTACGTTAAGTGCTTTATATGGATTATCAAGTAATCCTCACAACCCAGGAATACGTTATAATATTAACCACATTTTACAGGTGAGGAAAGTGAGTCTCCAGGGGGTTTAATCACTTGACCAATGTCACAGAGCTAGTAAGTAGCAGAGCTGGCACTCGAACGCAGCTTCTGATTCCAAAGCCCATGCGTTTAACCACTGAAGGAAAAGATTATTATATTTAGGATCTTGCATGATGATAGGAAAGTATATGAATCCATTTTAGATTTTTTTTTTTTAATCATGGGGATTAAAATGAGAGAATATGGGGCTTAAGTAATAACCTCAGTCAATAGAAACATTCAGTTAACCAGGATTTCAGAAGGCTTCTCTGTCCTGGCCTTTCTGTCCTCCGGCTACTGTGGTTTCTCCTCCTAGTCCCCATCTCTGTTCCTAGCTCTGTTTCCCGAGTGTAGCTACTACCACTGCCTTTCTTGGCTCCCTCATCCCTGTGGTCTACTTCTTGACCCTTTTCTTTATTGCCTTTGGCCCTGCTCCATGGCTTCTGGTTCATGATGTACTTCACAAAAGGAACTTCTGCTTCAATCTTGCAGTTTCCTCTAAGGGCTAACCCAGAAGACCTTAGCTAGGATTCATGGCAATGGCGTATATGTCTTCCTTCATTTTGCCAGTTGGGCTTTTTCAGAAAGTTCTCTATTGTCCTTTCCCAGCTCCCAGATGCCAACCATGACTGGCCCTCTGTAGGGCCACTGCCAGCTCTGAAATCCCACTCGCTGTGCCAATTATAAAGCTAGGCGACCACGCCAGTTGTCGGGCTCTTTTACCTGCTGGTAATCCTGCACCAGCTGGGCCGATTGTCGAGCTAGGGCTGGGTCTGGAGCTCCCTCAAGCCCATTCACAGACTGGGTCACAAGCCTTTCATATGCCAGGCTGGGTCACCAGCCCCCTTCATGCAGGTCTATGAGCTAGGTTACTGGCCAAAAGGTCCTTGGAACCATAGGTTGGAAAGCATGGCTGTGCTGGGTGGACACCCGAGGCCGATGCCCACCAGCCTGCTTCACTGAAACTCCTCTCTCCTCTCCTCTCTCTCTCTCTCTGTCTCTCTGTGTCTCCTCTTTTTCTCTCTCAAGAACACAAGAATAGCAACAAAACTAAAAAGATACATTGGCGCACATGTGCACTAACTCCACACACACACACACACACACACACACACACACACACACAATTTGCCCACAAAGGATGCTGAACCACACCCAACTGGACCTGAGGTGAGGGCTCTGACCAAACTATTCTATTTTCCCAATACCCTCCAACGTCACTTGATGAGCACTTTAGTCCTTAGGTCTCAGCAGTAGCCTAGGAGGGGACCAACATCCCCTGTTGCAACTGATAACTTGAATGTGCATGTATTTCTAGCTTCTATATTAAGAAGCCATGTAGAGAACTGTTTTGGTTAATGCACACAGTTAGGCAGGGCAGTCCCATAACAGGGAAAGCTTTTTGCTTGCAGGGAAGCCTGTAATACCCATCCTGAGATGAACAAGGAGCCTAAAATGATTGGCTTGCCAGACAGGCAAGTTAAAAAGAAATGTCCTGTTAACCTTGTGATAGCTCCAGGAATAACTGAGCAGTGTGTAACTACTACCATTTCTAGTGCCATTGAAGTAGCTAGGCCAAAAACACAGATGGGTCACCAAGGTACACGGTGAAAACAGGAAAAATGACGGGCTGGGGAGAGTGGGGAACACACACAAAAGTGAGGTAATTAAAAGAGAAAATGATGTAAGTTGAAATTTGAGAATTTACTGAGTCTTGTCCTTCTAAATTTCTCCCTCCTTCCCCTCACTTCAACAGTGCAAAGCCCCCTCAGGTCCAGATGTGATTGTTATCGATCTCCCTGCCATCTTTACCTTCATAGTCTCTATCATTCTTAAAACCCTGAGTAGAGCTAATATCATCCCCAGTATAGACGTGAGAAAATGAGGCCCTGAGAAGTTAACGAACATTTGGGCAGGGCCTGGTGGACAGGAAATGATTTTTCTCTCATTTGATTACATCACAGACTGTAGTAGGCCCTTAAGGAGTGAATTTAGGGATTTGAGGAAGAGACCATACATCTGGATTGGTTGACCTTTCGGTATGCTTCAAATGAAAACATGTATGTCTATCCATTTTGCCTCTGTGTACGGTTGACCTGGGCCAGGAGTAGAAAGCACTATACTTGCAACATCAGGAGTTTCTCTTTGCTTTGACTTTTGAGAATAAATTATGTAGAGCAGTGACTGTCACTAGGGAGCTTTTAAAAATCATGCCTGGTCTGCATCCTATATCACTTAAATCAGAATCCCCTGGGGTGAGACCCAGGCATCAGTACTTTTAAAACTCCGCAGGTGTTTCCTCCTCTGTAGCCAGCGTCTTTAGAGAATCAGGGCTCTAAAGCAGTGGCTTTCAACTTCAACATGCCTCAGAATCACCTGGAAGGCTTGGAAAAACACTGGTTGCTGAGACCCACCCCCAGAGTTTCTGATTCAGTATGCCTGGGGTGGGTGCCAAGGATCTCCTTTTTGAGTAAGTTCCCAGGTGATACGATGTTCCTGACCTGAAGACCAGACTTGGAGAACTGAGATGAGTTGAACAGAAGTAAAGCTAGTTTGAGCCTCAGTTCCTTTTCTTCTTCCCTATGAAGTTACAAGAAATTTGTGTGTGAGTCCCTTCCACATCTTTCCACAATGCTGACTCACCCAGCAAGGATGCTAGAACAGCATAATTTGCTGTGTAAATACCAAATAGCCTATGGGCATCACAAGTGTTTTGAAACAAATCGGGCAATGAACCCCAACAGGCTTTGAATAGATTCTAAGGAGCTTACCACAATCTTCAGTAGGAAAATAAACATTTTTCAAAGGAAATTTATCATCTTGAAATTTAGTTGTGCCACTCATTCTATCAGCATTTCTTTTTTTAAAAAAGCCTTTAAAATAACTCCTCTTCATTATTTTAAATGAAGTCAAGTTATAAGGTTCATGGAGCCAGAAATTAAGACAGCGATAATACCTTAAGTCTATCAGGTCGGGTCACCAGACTTAGCAAACACACACACACAAAAACAAGCAAACAAAAAAACAGGACACCCAGTTCAATTTGAATTTCAGACAAATAATGATTAACTTTTTTAGTATAAGTATGTCTCATGCAATATTTGACAACCCTGATCAGGGGGTAAATATTGGGATGGAATGACATGTGCCTGCTCTGGAGAGCTGGTACATACCATTTCCATTTCTGTTTCACGGGTGCACAGAAGTTCTTGATCTTGTGCCTTCTCCATTGAGAGCTCAACAAACATTGGCTGAACTGATGCAATACAGATACCCAATATATAAATGCAATATATAAAAGTATGGAGTGATTTCAGAGAAGGATGCTTGATTAACTTAAGATTCCAGTTTCTTTTGATTCAGTTATCCCACTTTGGTCATTGTCTAAATCAGTGGTTTTCAACTGAGGGTGATTCCTCCCCTCCCTGCCAGGGGACATTTCACAATGTCTGGAGATAATTTTGGCTGTCACACCTGGTGGCGGGGGGTGTGGGGATGTTACTGGCATCTAGTTGGTTGAGGCCAGGGGCACTGCTAAACATCCTACAATGTACAAGACAGCCCCTCACAACAATTATCTGACCCGAATGTCCACACAGTTGAGGTTGAGAAACTCTGGTCTAGATCACAGTGCACAGGTTTTAACAAATCTTTCATCAAATGGTTCCAGCCACGTCCTGGAATGTGCTGGTATTTCATTCTTCTGGGTGTCAATGATGGGGAGAGAATGTTTCCTATTTGCTGTACTATTAAGGAATTGGTGGAAGAATTTTTACATGCTTCTTCAAAAAATTACAAAACTAAGGAGGCACTGTGGAGGTTCCAGAAATGTACCAGTCCTCTGTTGCTGCTGTTCTCCTTGTAGCATGGCCTAGATTTGAAGACTTTGAAGATTTCGTGCAGGAACTACAAAATTCAGGACATTGCACTATGTAAATCTTCCCTTCTTTAGTATGGAAGACATATTTTTGTCTCAGCCTTCCAGTTAGATATGGCCATCTAGGACATGTTTGCAAATGGCAATTGGAGGAGATGCTGACCCAACTTGTATTCATTATTTTGTATACTATCTCTGTTGCTATAATACTTGTACTTAGATGGAAGCAGATTGCTAAATACAACAGCGATAAACATTCACAATACATTAAACAATACCTCATGTTTCATTGTGTTTACCTCTAGTTATCTATAACACATTTTACAGATATATACTCATATTAAAGACCTACTTAATTCTCATGATAGCCATGGGAAGCAAAGAGGGGGTGGGTTATATTATTCTCATTTTAAGATGTTTACCTCTAGTTATCTATAACACATTTTACAGATATATACTCATATTAAAGACCTAATTAATTCTCATGATAGCCATGGGAAGCAAAGAGGGGGTGGGTTATATTATTCTCATTTTAAGAGATGATAATTAAACCTTGCCTGTAGTTACATGTTGACTATTTGAAGAGCCAGGCACACTCAGCTCCTGGCTGAGGTGCCCCCAAATTTGATACAGGGCATACAGGTCCAGCTTCCTGCCCCCTTTCAAAAACAAACCACTCAAAAGCCAAATGTGGTGACAATGGAAGTCAGCTTTATTCAGGAATACTGGTAACTTGAGGAGAGATGTTTGGCTGACCCACCTCTCCAGTAAACCTGAAGGAGAATGGGCAGACTAAAGCCATCTCAAAGACTCAGATTTACTGAGGGGTTTTTAAAGAGGGGTCCAAGGGAATGGAATGTGGGGAATGAAAAGCAGGAGGGAGAGGCATGTGAGCAATGAGGGCTTCATGCAAAGTCTTGGGTACAAAGTCTCGCCAAGACTCATCTGGTTTCTGCTCCCATTTTTAAATTTTTTTATTTTTTGTTTAGATAGAAAATTATTTTCTCGACATTAAAAACGAAGGAAAACATCACAAAGTAAATTTAAAGTCAATTGATAAGGAACAAATTTAATACTCAAAGATTAACATCCTTAATGCAAAAAGAACTCAAAAATAAATTAGAAAAATCTAAGCAGAAATTTGGTGAAGGACACTAGCAGACAAGTCACACACCCCAAAGAAACACACGTGGCTAACAAGTACATTCTAAGATCTTGTTGCCAGGGGTGAGACGGGGGTGCAGAGCTGGCCCTTGGCTCCTGTCTCAGGACCTTGGGTGGCTAGCTTCGTTGCTTGACTGGTTGTGAGTAGGGCAAGGCTTGAGGCCCATGGCCAGTCTTGGGCCCTTGGCCTGTCTCGGGCCCCTGGGAAGCTGAGGCTGTTGCTTGCCTGGTTGTCTGTGCTCTCATCTTTGCTATTATCTCAAGGTTGGGGTAGTACGTGCAATATTGTGGCTTCAGGCTGGCTGCAAAACAACTTTACATTCATGTAAATAATGTCATCTTGCCCCATAACCAAAGTTTAAAATATCAAATAACCATGGGAAAAGAGGGAACTCAGAGAAATGCATGCCAAGAATAAAACTATGTTTTTAAAATTTGCCTACAGCCCATGCAGTTTTAGGTCCCAACATGGCTTCGGTCCTGCTCATTCCAACACCAAGAGCAAATTGCAAGTCTTGCCAATGGTGCCATGTCTGCCAGCCAGGGCAGCATTCTGCTGATGGCATTGATTTATCAGACCCTGGTTAGTGTCCAGTCATAAATGTCTAACTTTTAAAAGTACATGGCAGATTGTGAAGGATGGTTGCTAATTAGAGAAGGACAACACAAGTCAGGACATTTTCATTCCTAGTGGTTTACCGTTTTAAACAAAACACAGCACAGGAAAATAAAACATAGAAAACAAAGTCATAAATTACAGTTCAATAACTATTTGCTATGGGCTACTTGATGTCAAGTCCTGTGCTAAGTACTCTGAAAAATGAAAGATAAATGCATATCCTTGATATGGCATTTAATATGTAGTTGGAGAGTCAACAGTTAGTTGCAGGAAACCTACAGAAAAGCTTAAAAAGCATAATATAAATAAACTAGTGCCAAAATGTGTTAAAAGGAGGCTTCTGTGGCCTGGAAGGCAGAGAAGCTTTTATGAAAAAGGTGGAATTGGAGATGGAACTTGAAATATTAGTAGGATTGGTTCAAGTGGACAGTGGGAATCTGGGGAAATAGGATTCAACTAGACAAAGGGATTAATGAATATGGGCAGGGTCATTCTTGCTACTTTCTGGAAGAGATAGAAACTTGGGAGCTCTCAAGTAGTAGTTTTCAGGTAAGTGAGCTGAAGGCAGAAAAAGCCAGACTGCAAGGGGAGAGAATAAACACAAGTGCAGAGGAGATAGAAAGAAACATCTGAGGTTCCTGTCAATACTCCAATTCCTTGTTACCATTTCTTTCTGTACCTCAGCGGCATCAGTGGCATCCCTGACCTACCCCAGTATCTTCAAATAAATTCCAACCCAGTATCTTCAAATAAATTCCAGTTTTTCTCTTGACCAGTAGGAGAAGCCAAGCAGTCAATTTGGGGAATGGGGGGCTGGGGGGCTGGGTGCAGCTGGCCAGTGTGGGGGAACCGAAACGTTGACTGTGGTGTTTGTTCCCCAGTATCTTCAAATAAATTCCAATTTTTCTCTTGACCAGTAGGAGAAGCCAAGCAGTCAATTTGGGGAATGGGGGACTGGGGGGCTGGGTGCAGCTGGCCAGTGTGGGGGAACCGAAACGTTGACTGTGGTGTTTGTTATGAGGCTGCACTCTAACCAACTGAGCTAACTGGCTCAGAGCTTTGCACAGAGGGTTGACTATCACTAGATCTAAGCCTTGAGGCAGATACTTGGAACCCTTGCCTTGCTGTCTGCAGCTGGCTTTTCTGGTCAGCCTTGGTTTGGAACCTGGGTTGTGGCTTGGCTAGATGAATACAAAGGGTTAAGTGGGGGCTCATGAGGTCTTGCTCCTGGTACTCAGGCTATGTGGCCCTAGATTCTTCCACTGAGACAAATTTCCATGGACACACACAGAAGCCTCTTTCCTCCCTGAGCACTATTTGAACTTTAACTATGATTTTGTTATTGAATTAGGCTTTCAGATCCCAAAGTCAAAGAAATGAACAGTAAAGCAGGCAACACTTATTAAAAGAGAAGATAGACTTACGAATAAGGGAGGTAGCTACAGGAAAGCTAGCCCCCTAAGGGGAGCTGTTCAGGTCTTTTATAGGGAAAAGTTTAGGGGTGCAGGCCAGCATCATCATTCTATACCTCCCCATTCTCCCTGGTTGTATCATGGGTGCACGCTCACTTAGGGCTTTAATTTAGTCCTTGCATCAGTTCAGTTGGTCCAAGATGGTGGTGTTGGTCATTATAGCCATCCCAGGAAGGTCACTGTAGTGGTCACTTTGAAGCTTTGTGTGCATGCGGGATCTCCTAAAGGGGTCTTAGTTTAATCTGTAACTTAATTTTTTACAATGATAGGAAACAAGCCTCCAGGAGAGGTTTTGCCACTTTGTTCCCCTCTTATTTCAGTTTATTTTATCATGGGGTAATCAAGGGGGAGGGGAGGGGCGGTCTCATGACTGAGGAGTGGAAAAGTAACAAAGTGTCCTCTGCAGGGAAAATGGAGTCAGTTTGGTTCACAGGCCTAGCCCTATTGTCAGTTTGGTAAGTGATGGCTGCTGCTTACCGGTCAATTCGGTAAAACCACCACATTTTTAATCAGGTAGATTACCTTCTAAAGGTAGAAAAGTCATTCGTTTGGAACTGAACCATCTACTTCAGAATAGCTGTTTTGGCAAATGAAGTGTTTGCCTCAGTATTTTTCTTTTTTTTATTCAAAATATTTTAACTTTTACTTGTACATATTTTTGGGGTACAGTATGTTGTTTCAGTACGTGCAAATACTTCACTTATGATTTCATACCCATTAGTCTGGTACTTGTTCTGAGTATTATTTTTAACCTGATATTTTAATGATAGATTGTGACTTGGAGGTGATTTAGTTGTTTCTTAGTTGTCTTGACAGCAATGTAATTCATGATATTCTATGTACTTGAAAATCCTAAAATTTTACATTCAAGCAATGATACTTTTTATAGTTTTGATAGGAAATGCACTGGTAAAATTCTTTGGAATTGGGTGGATAATAGAGGGAGAATTATTATTAAATTTTTTTTTTGGTTACAAATAGTAATGACTTAAGGACCATAACTAATTTTCATTTCAAGAGCCAATTCTTAAGTGTTTCATAATCACTTCACTCAGAATTTACTTTTACCGCTTTTGTGATTTCAGAGTTTTTCTATATTTATTTATGGCTGTATTTTAATATATGGTATATTTGTATATGGCTTTTTCTCTCTGAATAATTTTATGAAATTGGAATTAAAGTGCAATTAATTTTATACTCTCCTTTTTTTTTTTTTTTTTTTTTTTTTTTATTGACCGGTAACGGGATCGCAACCCTTTGTGTCGTGCCCGTGCCGGGGACCGGCAACGGGATCACAACCCTCGGTGTTGCGCCCGCACCGCGCTCAGCCAGTGAGCAGGAACCGGTCTCCACATGGGATCCAAACCCTTGGTGGGAGCGCCACCGCGCTCCCAAGCGGCGCACTCTCCAGTGCGCCACCGGGCCGGACCTATACTCTCCTTTTTTCCCTTTTATATATCATCCTAAAATTACTCACGGAAAACACTTTTAAAAACTTAACGAAACGTTTCAAACATACAGAAAATTAGAAAAAATAATTATAGTGAGAACCCTAGGCACACCACTGACATTCAAGAACTGTTGGTATTTTGCAAAATTTAGTTCAACCTTACATTGGTGTGGGGGGCATTTTAAAGTAAATTAAAGACTCTGACATAAGATTACACCAGATGCTTAGCAGCTGGACCTTATTTTAAGGAAGTCTAAAGCTTATACCACATTCTGCATAAGTAGCAATGGAGAGAAATCAGCCAGCAGATTTTTTAGTTTGAAAAAATTTACATCACAAGAAAGTAAGCCTTCCTTTCACCTTTTAGGTGCAAACTGATGAAAATACCCAGTAGGGCTACTATGACTCAAAGAGTCTTGCCCTCAGTAGACACTCAAAACATGTAGCTGAACTGAATTTCAGTTGTTATTTTAAAGCCGTACATCACAAATGCACTCTTAATCATCCTGAGAAGCGGTGAAGAAACCAGAGAAGTCGGAGTGGAGGGCGCGATAATAAGCCCGCACTGGGGCACAATGCCTCCTTTTAAATTCCTGACTCCTCGCTGCGTTTTAGAGCAAACTACGTATATATTCAATACCTCACTTATTAAAATGGTCAGCTGTAAGGCTTAGTTGGAATAAAGTAAAGCGTCCATCAGAACGACCCGGAGGGCTTATTAATCATTTTGTAGGACCCCACCCGTAGAGTTTCTGATTCTGCAGGTCTAGGTGAGGCCGAGAATTTGCATTTCTAATAAATTCTCGGGTGATGATGACGCGGCTGGTTCCGAGATAACAGGGACCCCCAGTGACTCGTGCCTGGAGCCAGTAAGTGTCCATTATTAACATCACCATCCAAGCTGCCCAGCAGCAGGGAGCGTGGGGTACTGCACCGCAGGGAAGAGCGACGGCCTCTGTCCAGATGTCCCTGCCAACACATCACGCCTCCTCTGCAGGGAATAGGTTAGAACAGGGAGGGTGGTGGAGCAGCGGGTGTCGTTGCCTTACAGAAGGGCACCCCCTCTGTCCAACTTCCACCTCTGCGGAAAAGCAGAGGCCATCGGCCACCACAGTTCTGCTCTCTCAATTTCTCAGCCGTATGCTTCTGGCCGGACGAGAGCCTGTCCTCAGGGCAAGCCGAGGGCGGGTGCAGCAGTTCCCGCACCCCAGGGCGGGGCGGAGGCAGGTGCAGAGCGGAGGCTGGTGCAGAGCGGAGGCTGTAGCCCGGCAGGAGGGCGTGGCAGGGGAGGAGGGCTTTCTGCGCCGGTC